ATCAGGTGTTTCAGAAATTATGAAAACATCTGTAAGAAAATAATTCGTTTGTAGTAGAAAGGGACTAAGCTGGAAATCAATATATGATTCGGGTAAAATTGGGTAAAATTTGGCGCAAAATTCGATTGGCATAAAAAAATTTTTGCAGACTTTTTTTAATAGTATTATTATTTTTTTTTTTTGATAGAGTACCGTCAAGATAAATTGAGAACTCGAAACTAACTTATCGGTCTTAATCCCTGAAAAAACCTAAGTACATTTTTTCCTTAGTGGAATTCATTTAAGATTACAACAAATGTTAATGGAAAAACAAAAGATATTTACAGTGCTTTTCAATTACTGTGACCAGCAAATTCCACGTACCACACCGGAAATCAGGAATCTAGAAAAAATGCCAATTTATGATTGGTCAAAAAATTATTCTAATAATTTTTAGATTGACATTGTTTCTAGATTCCTGATTTCCGGTGTGATACGTGAAATTTGCTGGTCACAGTAATTTGAAAAGCACTGTAAATATATAACGATAAATACATTTAAAATTTAAAACTTTTAAAAATTTAATTACTTTTTTTAATAATTTTATTATTATTAATTTTTACATTACAAAGATATCCGACGACTCACGCGATACAAACTGAGCCGTTAGCGAGATTATGGAACGTAAAAGATAATAACATAGCTATGTATTTACGTATTCAGAGAAGGTTAGAGCAGGCGAATGAAATCCTCAGACCAATACTAGGTGAAGATCTTTATGCGGGATCTCGTATAAATGTAGTTATGAACCGAATAACCGTTTACACTATAGATGAAAGTTTGAAAAATGAATTACTTGTACTTCCTCAAGTTAGGAATTTTGCAATTTAATAGACGTCGAAGTTCAATAATCCATGAATGAACTAATACACAAGTATAGGAATATACTTGCTGTTACCAGAGAGCATAATCCAGTGTTTGTTGGTGTTTATATTGATATAGAACGGAATAATGTCGTTATAACTTTATATGATGGACATAATGCCGAGTATATAGTGGATGTCAGACAATTTGACCCAATTTTTGATCGTTAGAATTTACATAATCACCATCAAAATTTGCATAATGAATGTTCCAATTCACATATTATAAAACGTCAACCTCCTTTGATACATTCTCTTCTCTTAGCTGGTGATGGTTTATTTAAATGAACGTTTTACGTTTTCATTAGGCTTTTTAGCAAGAATGAGAGCAACAAACGAAGAAGTTTTTGTAACCACAGAACTTGGCTATCGGCATAATCAAAATTATCATCTTTTACCGTGGACTTCACATGTTGAGCACAATAATATTGAAGAATGACAAGTATGAGACAACTTACAAGAGAAATCGATTTTGGCATTCTCAGTATAGATAATCCTATTTACATTCCATTGCTGTCTATAAGAAATCCTGATTCTATTTATAATGCATAGCTCCCTATTGTTTATTTCCAGCTTAGTCCCTTTCTACTACAAACGAATTATTTTCTTACAGATGTTTTCATAATTTCTGAAACACCTGAT